TTTTTTTTTTTCTTAGAAAAGTAATAAACACTATTGTGTTCTGCTCTGCAAAAGTCACCTATTAACATCCCAGTCCACCTCAGCTAAAACAAGGAAGGTTTTGAAAACTTGGAGGGATATAAGGATTAAAAATCAAGCCTGAAAAAGCAGAGGAACAAGCAGTGGGAGAGGAATGTGCACCTTGGCCAGGAGAAACACACAAAAACCCAGTGAGCACCAGAATAAAAACATATGAAATTACAACTCCAATGCAAACCTCGTGTTTTAAGCTGCAAAACAACCTCAGCCCTTCAATTTACTCACCAGTCACTTCCAAGTGAGCTGCAAGTTTTGCCACACTGGCTTTAGCAAGCTCACTGGTTGTCTTATTCAGCACTAAGGATAAAGAATGGACCTGGTCAAACAAAAAAAAAAAGGAACAAGTTGGTATTAAACAACATGAATTCTGAGCTGGAACATCTTGTTTAGCTATTCTTTCTCAAGGCAATTGCACTGTAACACATGAATGGCAAACAACAATTATCTGACTGGGAGACACTGGAGGAAAACAACAATTTTCTTGCCTTGTTTGCACATTATCAGCTCTCCCAAGCAAATCAGAATGCACAGGCCAAGAACAAAGCCCAGCACTGGTATAGTTGTCCTTTTCTCTTTCAAGACTTGTAATTTCTAAGTCAGGCTACAGAACCTCTGGGCAAAGACTATATAAACATCATGTAGTTAAAAGTACATTTATACATAGAGATGGATATAGACAAAGAGTGTGTACATTTTTTAATGTTTAACCAAAGTCCATAAGACCTAGAACAGCTCAGTGCCAATTTCAGCACCTCAGGTCTTTAATCCTGAAGCAACTTCATCACTCAAGAGAGGAGGCTCACACAAGGGAGCTGATCATGGTTTTGCTTTTCTATACCTTCTTTTTTCAACTAAGAAATGCTTTCTTGAGCTAAGGAAATGCAAACTGAACTGCTTGTTTTTAAACTGAGAAATGCTGCACACACTTTAAATCTGAGTTTAGGTGCATTGTGCCTATAGAGACTCTAAAACATTTGATGTGTCACCTTAAGTTTCTATAAACCAGATGTTTTATGACAGACAATCCAGTGATTGTTTTGCATCTCAAGTATACCTTCAGATCCAGTTTAGTGTTTACAGGCTCTTGGGCTTGAGAAGCTGCCAAGGGATTTATTTCTGATTTGATTGTCTGCTGAGTATCTTCAGGCTGCAGCTTCATAGCATGGTTATCAGCAGTGGATCCAATGCCAAAGAAATCCAGTATCACTACCCAAGTTTGCAAAGTGATTAAGACATCTAGACAATTAAAATCAACATCTACACTACGGTTGATGTTGTGATAGCGAGAGGAGAACTCAGGATGTTTCCTATCCACTAGAAAGATATTGATATGAACTAATGAATCATCAAAGTTACTTTTTCCACAGGGCAACTTGGATCTGTCTGCTGTTGGAGAAGGAGGTGGAGTCAGAGGATACTCAGAATCAGCATCTTCTTTTTGCTTCTTACGGGAGGCACAAACTGGTCTTTGGTAGAGCTGAAAGACATTAGGTGCTTCTTCCATGTGGGAAGGGAGGGAACGTGGCATGTCTGGGTACTCTGCATTGGATACTGAGGGACAGGACTGTGAAAGGTACTCCTTGTGAGCTAAACTGGATGGCTTGGGTGCTCCACGGGACACCATGAGGTTCTTGTACATAGAGTCTGGTTTCTTCTCCAGAAGATCCTCCATGAGGAGGGAGCGCAGGGCGATCTGGATGGACAACGTCTGGGGGTGATCTTTGGCAAACTCCACATCAAAATCCTGAAACTTAAGGCTGACAAGGCCTTGTGCCCCAAGTGTAAGATCACCACTTAACTGAACCTGGAGCTCTGAGATATGAAAGTTGGCTTGAATCTGAGTAAAGGATTTGGTTTCCCTGACAGCTAAGGACTTGTTTGGAACAGAATTGAAAGTGGAATGGCTGAACAGGCCATTTTCCTTCCTCTCACTTGAGAACTCTGTGCCTGCACTATGAACTGATGTTGAAGGAGAACAAAGACCAGTTGGAGAGACAGGAGTGGCTGAAAATTTGTTCAAGTCTTCATTGTATATTAAATTATCCAGGGTCTGAAGGACTTGTTCATAGACATGTTTGGCTAACACCACCTACAAGGCAGAGAAAAGAAACAATCACACATTAGAGCTCTATATTAATAGACTCAGGATGTCTATCTTGAAACTCACAAGTGAATTTTCTCATTGGACTTGATGATCTTAAAGGTCTCTTCCAACCTTGATGATTCTATCAAGTGGAAATACTGTGGAATTTCACACCACATAAATGCCCAGAGAGGCTGTGGATGCCTCAGCCCTGGGAGTGTTCCAGGCCAGGTTGGATAAAGCCTTGAGCAGGTTCCAAGGGTGCTACAATAGGATATCTTGTATTCCTGGGCAAAAACCATCCACACACAGTTAGTTCAAAGTAAATCACCATAGAACTAGCCTGAATTTATCATGCTGAGATTATACAGTAATACATGAAGAAAACTTTCTATTTAGACATCATTGCTTTGTCTCCTTAGCTTCAGAAGTTTCCTCTATTTAAACCCTCTGCTCCTGCACAGATTACTTCAGGATAATTGGTATTTTAATTCTTAATGTCTACCAGAACTGCAAACAAACATGTTTGAACAGTGACACATTTATTTTTCCTTCTGTATTCAAAGTAAGTAAAAATTAGAATTCATTCATCAAGATGTCAAAAAGGCTCCAAAACAAGGCTAAATGCTGCTCATTGTCATTGTGACTTCTTGTGATTGTCTATTCTAACCATGTGTGTAAGGATCTGATTTCTGAACTACCAACATGTTAAACCTGAAGATATTGGCCTGAAAAATAACTCTATGCAAGGAAATAGTTTCACATTGATAGTGGAAATACTACATTTCTGTACCTGAAGAGGGTTCACAAATTTCCCTTCAATCTTCATAATACTTGATATTCCAAAGTCTTCATTGTTCAGAGGAAAAGTTAAATCCAAATCTCTCTCTAGTGGGATCTTTTCCAATTTGAACTGGATGGTGGTGTTATTCAGGATGTGGAAAGCTTTAAGAGAAAGTGAAATTAAAACAAGACTGTATTTAGTGAGCTGATTATGCTATAAAAACTGCACAGAAGAGATGGTACAGCAGCTATTTAACTTGCTCAGAATCTCAGGTAAGTATGTCTGGTTATGTTTTGTTCAATTTCTGCATAAAATGAACTACTCCATTTTGACAGTGGATGAGAAGCTCACCATGAGCTGCAGTGTGAGCTCAGCCCAGAAAGCCAATCCAATCCTGGGCTGCATCCAAAGAGTGTGGGCAGCAGGTCAAGAGAGGTGATTCTTCCCCTCTACTCTGCTCTCCTGAGACCCACCTGGAACACTGCACACAGTTCTGGTGTCCTCAGCATAAGGACATGGAACTGTTGGAGCAAGGCCAGAGGAGGCCACAAAGCTGCTAAGAGGATTGGAGCATCTCCCCTATGAGGACAGGCTGAGGGAGTTGGGGCTGTTCAGCCTGGAGAAGAGAAGGTTGTGTGGAGACTTCAGAGCAACTTTTCAATATCTGAAGGGCCTACAAGCAGCCAGAGAGGGACTCTGTGTTAGGAACTGCAGTGACAGGACAAGGGGGAATGGGTTCAAACTGAAGGAGGG